GGGGTAGCCGTGTTAGTCTGGATCTGTAAAAGCAGCAAAGAGTCCTGTGGCACCTTATAGACTAACAGATGTATTGGAGCATGAGCTTTCGTGGGTGCATCTGACGAAGTGGGTATTCACCCACGAAAGCTCATGCTCCAATATGTCTGTTAGTCTATAAGGTGCCACAGGACTCTTTGCTGATTTTTTTGTAACCTCCTGGAAGTATATCTGCATTTCCCATCAGCCCTGCTCATAGTCTGTTCATGCTGTCACTAAAGGCAGAAGGCTCTGTTCTATGTCACATTGTTTTTCTATCTCCTTCTTGTGATGGTCATTTCAAGATTAAGGGAGAAAGATATCAACATCTTTTTCCTTTCATGGATAAATTAATGTTCTCTGTCTGTCATTTTTGGAAATGAGAGCCCAGCTCAAGTTGTTTAACAGTTAAAGACTTTACCATTAATGTAGAGACACAGAAAATTCTGCCTTTTCCAAACCCAAGACCAAGTTTCTGTTTTCCACAGAAACCATGACCAAAACCCTCTTATGTGTAAACAATAAGTTTGGTGCACGAAGTATGTTGTGATGAAAAGTGCTGACTGTCATTTGCCTCCATCTCCTAGGAAGTTTTTCTTATTCTTCAGAACAAGAGCTAGATCATAGAGAGTTGCTTTGGGATTTTGAGTGTAGTCTTCAGGGTGTAATTTTTTGACCCAGAGGATTTGATACCTGTATTTCTAGTTGAATAAATTAGACTTTTGCTGAAAATCAGTGGAAGTGCTAAAATCTTTATTTCCATGAACTGTATTTCAGGTGGTTCTTAGAAAATCTCAGACTAGTTTACATTATACAAAGAATAAATATCTATATTATTTCTAGCATCATTTTCCAAATTCTGGAGACTGCTAAAATTGGCAAAATAAAAATAAGTGTTGCATGAGCAACCACATTTCACTTGCAGTGCATCCAGTCATTTCATATTGTTGTGGTAGATGTCAGCAGGTGGTGCTATTATACATAGTCTTCCAAGTTCCTTTCCTTGGTGTGTGAGCAAGTTTTTACTCTTGGAAGGAATGTTTGTGGTGGTTGGTAGTCTTGATTATATACTATTCTGGCTGGAGACAGACCTGTGCAAGCAGCAGCAGTGTTTACTGTTGGGTTCCGATTAGAGTCAATTCTGGAGGAAAAGTTGCTCCTCGGTAACTGGGCATTGGTGATGAGGTGAGATTCCTGGGGGGGAAAATTACCTTACATGCTGTTTGTGACCAGGACTGGTGTATGTGTATAAATAAACAAGTTACACTTAGAATGTACTCCGACACTGTGTCACTGATTTCTTATACTGGAAGTTGACCTGCAAGGGTTAGGGTTGCCAGGTGTTCAGTTTTCGACCAGAACACCCAGTCGAAAAGAGATCCTGGCGGCTCCGGTCAGCACAGCTGACTGGGCTATTAAAAGTCCGGTTGACATGGGGCTGGCAGGCTCCCAACCTGACTCCATGCAACTTCCTGGAAATGGCGATGTGTCTCTTGGGTCCTAGGTGGAGGGACGGCCACGGAAGCTCCGTGTGCTGCCCCTGACCTGAGCGCCTATTGGCCAATGTGAGCTGCGGGGGTGGTGCCTGTAGGTAGAGGCAGCACGCAGAGCCGCCTGGCTGTGCCTACTCCTAGGAGCCAAGGGACATATTGCCGCTTGTGGGGAGTCGCCCAAGGTGAGCGCCACCTAGAGCCCACAACCTGAAACTCTACCCACACCCCAACTCCCTCCCAGAGCCTGCACCCCCTCCTGTGCCCCAACTCTCAGTCCTGAGCCCCCTCACACACCAAAACTCTCTCCCAGCACCTGCAGCCCAAACTCCCTCCTGTGCCCCAACCCCCTGCCACAGCTGGGAACCCCCTTCCACACTCCGAACCCCTCAGACTCAGCCTGGAGCCCACTCCTGCACCCCAAACCCCTCATCCCCTGCCGCACCCCTAGCTGATGCCCTCCTGCACACCAACCACCTGCCCCAGCCAGGTGAAAATGAGTGAGGGTGGGGGGAACGAGCAACAGAGGGAGAGGGAATGAGTGAGCGGGGGCAGAGCCTTGGAGAAGGGGCGGGACAAGGATGTTCAGTTTTGTGTAATTAGAAAGTTGGCAACTCTAGCAAGGCTCCAGATTTCTACTACTGCTCAGCAGAGGTGCAACACTGTTTTCAGAATGGGAAATTAGTGTCTGAAGAAGGGGCAACAATATTATTCAGGGTAGGAAAGAAATGTAATAAAACAATGAATGCCTTTATGGGCTATATCCTACAAGATACATAGAAGGCCTGGAGGGCGGAAATAATGCTCTGTCAGCAGCATTGATTTCCACCAGATTTCCTGGTGTGTTTCTGCCACGTTTGGAGAGAAGCTTGCTTCCTGGCTCCTCAACTTTCTTTCAAAAATTCCTCCATCCCACTAGTCCTGCAACTGTAGAGTTTCTGCGGCCTTCTGGTATAGGGGGAGAGCATGCTGTTGAGCCCTCTCTTTCCTTCTACTGGTTCTAGGGTCTTTCTCTTCCCTTTTCTCTTTGTCTCACTCCATTCCGCATCATGCAGTCTAGTACTAATTGTTCAGGTAGGCAGAGGAACTGAAGAAACTGTAATAATATGTACTTGAACAGTAGAACTGGGCAAATAATGCAAGTAAATTTATCAAACCAAATTCAATTTCAAATCACTTTTGTGTTCTCTTTGCACAAGTGGACATAGGGTTGACTTTTACCAGCGAGAATGCTTGTGGGAAGAATATTTTAAGCTTGCACACTTAAAACTTACTTCAAATTTGCTTTCCTTAATCCTCCATTTCACCTACCTGATATTCTAAGTCAGCAATGGACTATAAATCATACCATGTAATTTACATGACCAATCACAACGGCCCAAATTTTGAATATTGTGTAACAGAAAGCCTTGGAGTACATTAATGTATGACAGATTTAGTCAAACAATTTTGAATAATAAAAGGTTTGCGTTCTGAATGTAACTAGAAGAAGAGGCAAAATTAATAACATTAATTATTTTTATGAATTATTTGATTTTCTCATCTGAGCAATTCTAATAGTCCTGAAAACCAAACAAAATTTATCGATTTAGTGGGATTTGTTTATATCCTATAATTCTCTAATACTGTGGAGCTTTCTTGCACTGTCCTTAAGAGTAAAACTAGAAACAAAAGAACTCAGTGGCCTTTGGAAGTTAATTATGGTCACTGTTGCTGATATTCTTGGCAGGAGCCTACAGGCAACATAAAAACCATTGAAAGTATTGGCTGGTAGGCAAATTCCTCCTCTGTGTATCAGTATATCTGTGAAATAGAGGGAGATAAAGTAGTAACGTTTGCTTCCTCTTTTTCTAAAGTCTTATTACATCTGCCAAACCGGTGCTCCTCCTCACTCTGCCCTATATTGCAGCTTCCAGCAGTAAAAAATACACAAGCCATTCACCATTGCATTTCTGCTGGTTGAGTGATATTTTGCTTCAGTAGCTCTAATGTTCTAGATGATTAATGATCATTTTAGGCAGATTTGTCCAAGAAAATCTGTTGTTCTTTATTTCTCCATTGGTGGATCTGAAAAGATTTTAGAAAACAAATTATCAACATGTAAAAATGAGTTATTCCATTTGGTATAATGAAAAACTAATGCCGTGGCATACAATGTATTAGGGAGAAAAGGTCTGAACTTCAAAGATCCATGTTATTTCAAAGTTCAGGATGGGTTTTTTGGATGTGGTTTTGGTTCAGGCCTATTTTTAGTCTACAATTTCACAATAGTTTGCTCTCCTTCTAAAGGTTTTATTTAATTTGAAGTAGCTTTATAACTGTGATAGATAGGAATTGGGAAATATTCCCCTTCTACTAGTGTAATGGTCAGGATATTTACATTAGTTTCTAGAACTTTGTTAGGTCTTATTTATCTCTGTAAGAGGTTGATGCATTAAATCTCAGCAATCCTTCAACAATTCAGTGTCTCTGCACTACTGAAAAGCATTAAAATACATAACAGCAGTGTTTTAGCTTCACTGCTCATTAGAGCAGCACAGAACTAATAGTAATATTGTTGTAACTTGACAAAGCCATCTAAATCCGTGCGTGTTTTTTTGTGAAAGCTTCCTAAACATGCTGCTAAATCCTCTAAAAAGCGACTAACGGCTTTGGCAACCATTAGCACAGCATAAGCAGTGGAACTCTTTTCAGTAAGTGAACAAACAGAGAAAATATGCTGAATGGCTGGACAAATGCGTTTCAGCTGGCTCTTTCATTTACAGATATAAGGGTGCAGTCAATATCAATCACTGTTTTCCCTGTTGCACTGGAAATCACAATATCTCTTTTCATTCCACAATCTCTTTTCACCACAGTAATGTGTCTTTAGAGTGACACTGGCATCAGTCTGTTTCCGCTGTCTGAAGTCCAGAGAGCTTAAAAACACATTTCAGAGTATGAGACCATAACCCTCTTCCCCTTCTACACACCTCTCTCTCCTTCCTTCCTTCCTTCTCCCAGCTTTCCTCTCTGAATTAATTGTATTTACTTCTTTCCCAGCTTAGGGTTTAAAGAGGAAAGTGGTCACAGGGATTTGGAGTATCTGTTCTTCTGGTTTAGCGACGGAGACATGTCAGATTGTTTGTCACTGATCATTGGATTTTTAATTTATCAGGCGTTGCAGAGAATTTGAAAACAGTAGAGCAGCATATGGTAATTAAATTAGAAATAATAGTGACATGATTTGAAGTGTAATGGACTGAGGTTTTAAGTTCAATCTATTATAGTTAGATTTTTCAGAGGTGCTGAGCACCCACAACTCCCATTCAATAGAAATCAAGCATTAGAAGCTGGGCCACTGTAAAAACCAGGCCATCAGCATATATGAACGTTCTTCTGTGATGACTTCATTTGTCATGTTTTGTTTCAAGTCATGTTTGGTCTGGAAACAAAGGTGAATTTTCAGATTGAAAAAAATGTGTGTAAATTATTTTTGTTTTTCATTTACAGATAACAGCAGTCTGCAGAGAGGCAGCCCTTCTAGCCCTCCAGGAAGATATACAGGCCAAATGTATTATGGGACGACATTTTCAACATGCATTGAGTATTGTGACCCCTAGAATTCCTGAGTCACTAAGACAGTTTTATGAAGATTATCAGCGGCAGAGTGGACTGCATACACTTTGAGAAATGAATATGTGCATTTTCACACTCACTGTGTGTGTGTGTAATATACACACACGCTCTTTTCACCTGTATACAGCAAATTTTCTTTACGTTCCTGAGAGCTTAGGAATTTCTTATTGTAAATGGAATGTCTGAAATGAACTCCATTGCAGAAATTTCATAGTAGAAGTCTTTTGTTTTGATTGTGAACTATGTGAATGCAGTGGAAATGGTTGAAAATTTTGTACTTTATAATAAAATGGTATAATCTGCATTATTATAATTTAGATTGCTGGTTTAAATCAGTTTTATCTGCAAATACATATCAGTCCGGGGAAAAAAAGGACTCTCAACTCAGTAATTTTTAGGCTGATCCTTGATCGTCTCCTTGAAAACATTTGCAATAGCAACAAGTGTCCCTACAGTCTTAATCTTTGTGTGTCTGGTTGTCAGTTCTGCACCAAGGAGCAACACAAAGACTGGGAGTGGCATGAATACATGCTGAAAAATATTCTGAAATCTTTGATTTATGACATTCAAAGAAGTTGCCAAACAAGCCTGCCAAACATTCAACTTTCCTCTCTCCCCCTCTACCCTCCCCCCCCCCCCCAAGTTAAGGTGCTCCTAATTGATCACAGCACAATGTTTAACTTCAGTCTTGGACATCGTCCCTTTGCTTATATTATAAGGTAGGAATATATATTAGAAGGGTACATTAGGCTTGTTATAAAGATTGGGAAAATGGACTATTTCTAATTTGTGATTAATTTATAACTATTTCCAGATGTCAGAGACACATTTTTTTTATATTTAAAAAAAAATCTGAGTATCTTGTTGATAGGGAAAATTGTGCATTTCTTACAGATCTATGTACATTTTTTTCTCTTTATATGTATGTTCATGTTGGTATTTTATCTGATATTTAGTCTACCAAGCACTGTACCTTGATCTGTAGAGGACACATTGTAAAACATAATGGGAAAAAGTTGAGAGATGTTAATTACTTCTTGATACAGTGCATGTGTAAAACTTGAAAAAATGTGCATTTAAACGGGACCACTAAAAATCTTTGAAATTTCCTAGAAAATCCAATGAGTAAAAATACCTAGTTGATAGAACTGACAATTGGTCACAAAAATGTGGGGGTACAGATACAGATTTTTAAACCTATTTCATCACTGATTTGTTTACTGAAACCATGGCAGGTTGTTTCTTGGACATGTATTCTTGTACCTTCAGTAAACAAACTGGTCAAGTAAAATTACTTGCAGGGTAGTGAGCTATTGTATACATGACTAGAAAGGCAGATCGATCAAAAGCAATAATTAAAAGGGGGGGCAAGCCAAAAGGTGATAAAAACTGAAAGGATCTGACTTTATTTCAACAGATAATTGCATGGTTTGGCTAATGTTCTTCCAGCTAAGCGGAAGACCCTGTCGAAGCATTAGCCAAATCATGCTGTTACCTGTTGATGTCAAGTAAAATAGTTTCAGATTTTATCACCTTTTGGCTTATTTTTTTGGATTTATTGTTTTGAAGAATTTGGCTTCTTATAGTAGTTCGATATTTGTTTATGCAAGAGTTTTATGTCTGTTTATGTCCAAACCTTCTGTTCTTTTTAAATAAATAAGCTTTTGATTTTGTTCAGACGATTTCTTTGTTCTGTTCAGTTTCTCTCATTAAATATAGTCTTTAAGGGACTACCCTTACCTTAAAAATCACACATCTGCCTGCTTTTTAACTTATTCTTGCTACAAGTAAAGTTTCAGATTTCTATAACTGAGAGAGACTAGAGGAGGAAAAAAGTAGTTGTGTACTTTTTGAGTTTGATGGTTCTTGCTGTATTGGTGGTTTCAGAGTTTCTCCAGTGTTGCTTGTGTGTTGCTCTCTGCACCAGATGAGAAGAGAGAGAAAAAAATTTAAATAGGAAAATGCAAAAATTGGCAGAAGGATGCAGAGACAGATGTAGTAAATGAAACTAGTTTTAACTCATTTTCTCTAAAGTGGCTATAATTCAGATTGAGGGTATCCAAAGCATTTATCATAACAATTAAATCCTAGATGTTTTCAAAAATTCAGTAGTCATACCATTATCCTTCTGAACTTTGTGTGGGTGTGTTGCAGAAAAGAACCATAGAACTTAGTCCTAACCTAACACAGTTCACAAATCTGGCCCCTAAATATCTACATGTTGATCTGGATGAGAGAAATCATTGTTGTCATTTCTTGGGAAGTGCTCAGATATCATGGTAACAGGGACCAAAATGAGAACCTGGACTGGGAGAAATAAACATGACAAGAGCTTGCAGCCCATTCCATAGGTGAGATTCCCATTTATATCAGTGTGATTTCCACTTGTTGTGAAGGCTGCAGAATTGGAATATCAGGCATTGGGGAAGGGATGGGATCTGGCACCCAGCCACCGATTGTGCCTGTGAAAATCTTCCCTTAGAATTCTTCATTAAATACACCATCTTTCACTTCCCTCACTTCCCACACCTGATGAGGAGCTGTGTAAATTAATAAATGTTAAACTGGAAATATTTCCTCTTTTTGCTGGGCTTGTGGAATAGAAAAGGCAGTTTAAGATTTATTGTAACTTGTTTTTTTAAATGTGGCAAATTGGTGACATTCATAATATATTTCTGTTTTGCAACTAAATATTTGTTGTGGAAAACTCAGCTAAATTTATGCCACTTGAAAATTTGCTTAATCCTGATAGATAGTTTGTGGAATAAAGAAATGTATGATTGTGCATACCCAGTTCCTTATGAAAGGTACAGTCCAATGTTATAATTGAACATCAACATTGTACCATTTAATCAGAATGCTGGAAAAATAACAGGCACTTTGTGTTGGAAAATAATTTTGACGAAAGCCCATCGGCAACTAAAGAACTTCACAACCATTTTGAAAGTGCTTTGGAAAATACTTTGCCAAAACAGCTACTGTGCGTAGCTGGAATTTACATGCCAGAGTACATGATCCTGTAGCATGCACAGTGCCCACAACTGTTGGAGTTAATAGATGAGGACACAATAGGACAGAGCATTCCAAGGATATTCTGTTAATGAATTATTTTTAAATTACCATTTTTAACCCATGAAATTGAGATCTAAACTTTCATATCATGCTTCACTCAATATAACATTTATTGGCATTGCACTAATCTCTTAATTGTAGGAGACCATATAAACCTCAGTATTTCCATACCAAAGGGTAAGTTAAAGATGGAATTTTACCCGTAACTCTGAATGTCCTTGCTTCTAGTGAGTTATTCCCCTTCATATTGTTTGGGTACTTTTGTATGATTTAATTTTCATAATTATAGGTTTGGTGAACAAGAAAAATCCACCATGTAAAAGGTCATATCCCCCTTCTCCAGAAGTAGTTTCAGTACTTATTTCCTGACATTCTTTAGGGATAAGGCTTTTCTGTCTTTCCCCCCTACCCCAATTATCTTTTGGAGCTTATCTTTGGCTCAGACACTGTTTGAGTTGTGGAATTGTTAACATTAAATCGGCTTTTCAATGTTTCAGGCAAACTGTGTTTAAATACAGAATTTAACTTCGTCTTCCAATAACAACATCTTGTGAATGGTGTAAAATGTCTTTCAGTTGGTTTGCCAAAAATGAACAAAATGCTAAAATGTCTTTACTTAATTTGAAAAAAGTCCTATCTTGTATTTTCCCTAATGCATGGAACAGATTTTCACTGCAGCTACAATGTACAGTTTTTTAACTCTATGGAAAAAGAATGTAGTATATTAGCATGATTTTCCTTGAATCTCTAAATGAGAATAGAACATAATAGTTTGTTCGAATGCTAAGGGAAAAATTTTGGGATAGATTAGAGATTATTTTTGAAGATTATTCAAGAATATATAATTTAAACTTGTCTGTCCTACTGAATTTTTAATATTTTAAAGTTGATTTTTCTGGCCTATATATTCTGGGTCTCATCTCTTGGTTTCTCTATTTATTTTAGATGTCAGACTGCAGTTCTGCTTCAGAAACCTAGCCTATATCAAGCAAAGCAGTCCCATAACTAAGCATATGTTGTTTAGAGCTATTGAAGCACTATAGGAGAATACATTTTCTTATGGGGCATGCTTCAGATTCAATGCTTAAGGAGTGTAGATGAGGGTCATGAGAGAGCAGTGCTGCTGAGTGTGGTTCTGTAAAAAGAACTAGGCTGAGGGAAGTGAGCACTGCAAGTTGATAGTTAGGAAAAAGCCCTCAGCTCAGTACCATTGAGGCATTGAAAAATGGCCTGGTAGACATATTGATTTATTAGAACTACTGGACACATATGTGTCTGGCCCTCATGGAGCAAGAGGTGATTCAGTGGATGAAACAATATTGCATTTAAAAAACTGGATTTGCAAAAGTATTCAGTGATTTGGATTGGCTCAGGTTTTTTTGGTGCCAAACGTGAAACATCTCAGAGGAACTTGACTTTCAGAGGTTGGGTACTCAGCTCTTTCTGAAAATCTAAGCCCCTTTTAGGCATCTCAATTTGGGCAGCCAAAAATTGAGGCTCACAAAATCACTAGTCACTTTTGAAAATCTTGGCCAAAGTTTCCCAAACAAATTGGCCAAGCTAATGATGGAGAAATGTAAAAGGTTTGGCTCATTTAATATAAACACAGCAAATTTGGACACACAACTGAATTTCTCTAAAGCTTCTGAGGGAACCCCTTAATCCAGCCTTCTATATAGTCTGAGCAATTACATGCCAACTTTTATAAAATACTATTTTTTACCAAATCATGACTAAATAATTGGTTTCTGATTAATCTCAAAAAATTTACATTTTATGTAAATGCAGCAAATTTCTAAAAGGATTTCCTAATATTGCTATTTTTCCCACCACATGGAATCACGGTCTAAAATAGTCTCCTTTTTTATTCAACTCTCAGATCATTGTATTTCTTTACATTGTCATACTTCCTTCACAACATTGTAGCCAAAGGAATTGCACCATGGATGAATTTGGCCAGGTGTTTAAAGTACATTGAGTTCCTCAGATGAAAGGCTCTACATAATTGCAATAATAAGTTTTATTATTATGCACATGTTTTGAAAATCGGTCTCAAGTATATTGTGCTTTTAGTTCTCACATTTTAGAACCCTAGCTTGAGTGCATAAACCTAAGCCATGTTCTCTTCTTCTGATGGTGTAAAAGGGCCAGAAAACCAGCCAATCTCCTTAGCTGACATAGCCCATTCCTACAGCACCACCATTGCATGTAACCTCAGCATTGGTGACGTGTGAAGGGTGAGAAGGGGAGGTGGCTGGAGTACTACTCTCAGCTGGCATACTGGCCCCTCGGCAGCATAACCAAATGTCATACCTTAAAGCACCCCAAAATTGCTCTAAACAATGCTGAGGTCAGGTTCAGCATGGAATCTGCCTCTGGGGAAATGCAGCTGGTTTCTTTCTGACCACGTCGGCTTCTTAGCTGCACACAGCAGATACTGTGTGCAATGGAAAATCTGGGCCTCCATTCTAAAATATGAGTTTCATATTTGTAGTTAGTCACTAGCCTTTTTTTAATATGTGTGTGTGTGTGTGTATATATATGTATATATATATTATACACACATACATGTATATGAATGTACTTCAAAATCTGTTCATGGCTATCCCTTTTTTCCACCTTTGATATAGAAAAAACTATTGGAAGTAAAGAATTGCAAAACATTTTAAATGTTACGGTAAAGTATGGACCATTTCTTAAAGTGCTCTATCTGGTGTATAAATTCAGATAAAGAACATTTTTGATTTCTAATGTGTAGGTGGCAGAGACATGCGGAGTTGCAGTTGTTAGACAAATAATGCTTATTAGTGTTACAACTGAAAACATGTTTTAATCTTGGATTTGTGTCTGCTGTCTCTGCAACTTCCATTTATTCATTTATTAATCTTCAATTTAGGAAGCCTAACCATGCATTTTCTGCAGGTTTTATCCTGTTTCTGGGCACAATATTTTAAACTAGGTCATTTTTTCCTACAGGTTTTAATAAATTGACTCCAATGTTCTGCAAAAAACTGGAGGAGATGTATGTTTTTCAAATAAACCCTTCCGCCATACCACTGCAGACTATCATTTCAGTGGTTTTACAATTGAAGTAGGGACAGTCCTAGTCAGTGTTTGGATGACAGCTCTCCAATGAAAATGGAAGTGTTGTACAAGATGGTACTGGGGATTTAGTGGCAGTCATCCCTTTGGACTAGTATTAAGCCAGTGCCCCAACATGATGTTAAGGTGTACCATGCTGTTAGGGGGCCCTTCAAATGAAATATGAAAAACAAGATATTGACCACTTGCACTCAATTAGAAGCTGTGGCACTAAGAGAGTAGGGGCGTTAACCTTAGTGTTTTCCCCAATTTGTGTAATTATATCCTATCCATCTGAGCATTTTTGGAAAGCTACTGTATTCTTCTCTTCCAATCAGAAACTGTGTCTAGCAGTTTCTACCTTATCACATTTTCATTTCACTGTTGGGGAAGTGATCTCTGTGTAGCTTTGTATATCAGTTGTGTGTGTAAAAGAGCTCTGGTACCCTTCGAGATTAAAGATGCTATCTGTGAATTCAGGATGCAAGTACAGAACTGGGATCTGCAGCACTAGGACATCCCAATG